AAGGTACTACTTTTTGGCGTCCAGGTACCATATTTTTTAAACACCCGCGAAGGTATTACTTTTTCTCCGAAGGTACTACTTTGTTGAACTGAAGGTACTACTTTTTTGAACTGAAGGTACTACTTTTTTGTTAGGGAAGGGCATTTTAGGCACCACAATTTTTTAAACAGTAAAAAACCATGTGCCACCTCAGCAATCCATTTTAGAGAAATATGAAATTTTGACTCAGTCTCTAAGTAAATATGAAACTTTGACTCTATTTATATGTAATTTTCCCTAAAACTTATTGACATCTTATATGTTTTAGGGCATTATATTTTTTTGGGAAAATTACATATACATGGAGTCAAAGTTCCATATTTACTTAGAGACTGAATCAAAGTTCCATATTTCTCTAAAATGGATTGCTGAGGTGGCACATGGTTTTTTACTGTTTAGAAAATTGTAGTGCCTAAAATGCCCTTCCCTAACAAAAAAGTAGTACCTTCAGTGCAAAAAAGTAGTACCTTCAGTTCAAAAAAGTAGTACCTTCGGAGAAAAAGTAGTACCTTCGCGGGTGTTTAAAAAACATGGTACCTGGACGCCAAAAAGTAGTACCTTCAGTTCAAAAAAGTAGTACCTTCGAAGAAAAAGTAATACCTTCGTGGAAGGGTATTTTAGGCACCACAATTTCTAAACAGTAAAAAACCATGTGCCACCTCAGCAATCCATTTTAGAGAAATATGGAACTTTGACTCAGCCTCTAAGTAAATATGGAACTTTGACTCCATTTATATGTAATTTTTCCTATTTTTTTTAGGTCAAAACATATATATATACTTAGAATAAATTATAAATTAAGATATCATGCCTGGTTCACTTGGCCAATTCGTAATTGTAGGTTTGGTCCGCAAAACACATTGAAATTAAGAATCACTCACTCCTATTATGACTCAAAATTAATGTGAATACATGATACCTCAAGCTTTATCACTGAAATATAAGCCCCATAAATATATATATATAGAATTTTTTTTTTTTGAATAAGATATGGTAAAGATAAAGATAGCCAAAGTGAGAACACAAAAATAATGTATTGTCTATTGACATATTTTTATTGACAAGAATAAACTTCAATTCCAGGTAACATCATTAAAAAATAAAAATAAAATAAAGTCCTCCTTCCATTTGAAATTGAATATGTGAGTGGTCTAATTTTCCACAAGGATTTTGCAATGAAAAAAGATAGCAATGGAAAGAAGCTTCAATCAACCAGTACTTTTTGACTAGTTAGAGCACTCTTTTATTTGTTTTACACCTTCGACATTATTTAGCCGAAGTCTTATTTTTTGGCCCATTTGTAATTTTCTATTTCTTCTTTTCTCTTTTGGCTACAAATCACCCAGTACACAATTATAAATGTTATTTGTTCTTTATAGAATATAGCAGAAACTTAGTGGTAATTTTACCTGAACTCTAATTGTGGAGCATTAATAAGGTGTTGTTTAATAAAAATAAAAAATTAATTACTAAAAATCTTAAGAATTGAATTTTAAGTGTTAAATTTTTTAAGCCGTAATTAAAAAAATTGATATTTTTTTTGAAATTTCAATGATCAGACTTATAAAATAATAATAATAATAATAATAATCCTATTTAGTGATAAGTGATATTGGGCAAGAATGTTAGGGGTCTTGTAATTAGAGGGAAGGTGCCGACTCCGAGATCAATCCAATTACTCGATAACACAACACTTGTTAGTTTTTAATGATTAACAAATTGCATTATCAAACACACTTAATTGAATAAATATTGAATCTGTTTAAAATTAAGCGCTGAATTTAGAAAAAAAAATTATTTACTGTTACTATATTAAATACACTTAATTAAATAAATGTTGAATCTATTCAAAATTTATATATATACACACTGTTACTATATTAAATATGTGCTCTCAATTAGATTTTGTTAGTATACTAAACAGTAACCCTTGTAAGAAATATTAAAAAAGGTTCTTCCTAAAATAAATATTTACGAATTATTTTATAACAGGACTTTGTATGCAGAAGCATCTTAAAAGTTGCTTAGTTGAATTAGAAGAGGGCATGGGCCTACAGGGAGCAAATCTTTAAACAACTTTCTTGAACATGATCCCTGCCGAGAGACCAAAATTCAAAGAAATTTATTTGAATTGCAATTTTTCGTTTGTCATTTCTTTTTTTACATAATTTATTTATTTATTTATTTTTTTGGTCACCAAATTTTTTTCTTTACTTAACAATCATCTAGTCAAATGGTATTTACTTCTTTGTCTTCGGAAAAAATTATTAGGGTTGGAGTCCAAAAATTGTAGACTCATAATATGCAAATTATATCTTTATAACTTAAAAAAACTTATAAAATATAATAATCCCTAAAGTGAAATGAGTGAAACTAAAATGTCTTTAAAAATTGTTGATGATACATATCACTATTTGAAAGGTGGAGTTGGTAAAAACAAATCACACCAACGTGATGCTTTTTTAGACTTACGATTTTATTGGGAATTTTCTGAGAGGATGCATTATTATTATTATTACACCGAAAGGTCCAACCACTTGCATTACATTACATCTCAGTTTGGTGGAAAGTTTCCAGCAACTTCACTTATCCTCTAAAACAGGGTATTATAGGAAGGAAATTTCTTGGATATAACACACAGACATCAACACCCATATATAATAAAGAGGTCCCATTTTAAGTACCAAAATTGCTTTGGGTCATTTTGCACAAACAAATCACCAACTGTTAATGGCTTCTTCTTCTCCTCCTCCTCCTCCTCCTCCTCCTCCTCAATGGAATTATGAGGTCTTCTTAAGTTTTAGAGGTGAAGACACTCGCAAAAACTTTGTGGATTATCTCTATAGTGCTCTACAACAGAAATGAATTTGCACTTTCAAAGATGATGAGAAACTTGAGAGAGGAAAATCAAGGCTATTCAGGAATCAAGAATTGCAATCATCATTTTCTCAACAAACTGTGCTTCTTCCACTTGGTGCTTGGATGAACAGGTGGAGATCATTCAATGCAAGACCACGATGGGACGGACAGTTTTGCCCATCTTCTACAACGTGGATCCCTCCCGAGTAAGGAAACAAAAGAAGAGTTTTGGAAAAGCATGAAGAAGCTTTTGGGAAGGACGACCAAAAGTGCAAAGCTGGAGAAATGCTTTGGTTGAGGCAGCAAACTTAAGCGGGTTCCACCCAAAAGAAATTGCAAATGGGTATGTAATTAATTTCCAACTCAAACTGTAATTTTGAATATGTTTCTATCAGTATTTAGCTGTATTGTTATTATTTATTGTGTTCAGCAATATTAACATCTTTAGTTATATTAATGATTTTGTGGATCGGAGTTCATTTTGATATTAGATTGAGTAGTTATATCTATGAATTCCTCATACTTTTTTTTTTTTCCCCCTTTTTTGGGGCCTATATGAATTCTTCACCTGAATATCAGAATATGGATGCATCATGCATTGTTGAACCATCATTATATGCACAAGTTCCTGGGCACTATATGTGGATGCCAATTCTATCAATTTGATTTATAAATTTAGTTGTTTACCAATATTATCTCTTATATTATTATAATTGACAGAAATATTCATTATAATAACTTCAATCTTTATCTCTTATTAATACAGTCAAACCCACACACTTGACTTTTTTTTAATATGTTTCGGACTTGATAGGCATGAGGCGCAATTTATTCAGAAATTTGTTCAAGAGATTATGGAAAAATTGGGGAGGCATATACCATGAGATGTTGCCAAATTCCCGGTGGGGATAGATTCTCGTGTAAATAAAGTGATCACTCTGCTAGACAATGGGCAGAAGGATGTGCGCATTGTAGGGATTTATGGAGTTGACGGGATAGGAAAGACAACGATTGCTAGGGCTGTTTTCAACCGAAAATCCGGTGAATTTGAAAATCATTGTTTCCTTGCAAATGTGAGAGAAGAGTCAAAAGAACATGGTCTCGCATATCTCCAACAAAAACTCTTGAAGGAAATCCTGAAGGAAGGAGATTTAAATATATGTGATGTTGGCCACGGGATCAATGTGATAAGGAGAAGACTCCAACACAAGAAGGTTCTTGTAGTTATAGATGATGTGAATAGTTTGGAGCAATTAGAAAGTCTAGCTGGGGGGAAATGACTGGTTTGGTGGTCCTGGAAGTGAGATCATCATAACAACTAGAGATAAACGTGTGTTGGAACAGTGTCATGTTCTTGATCATGAAATCTACACGGTTGAACTGTTGAATGATGATGAAGCTCTTCGACTCTTTAGTTGGCATGCCTTCAAAAAGAACTATCTTGAAGAGAATTATTTGGAACTCCCATGGAGTGTAATTGATTATGCTCAAGGCCTCCCATTAGCTCTTCAAGTTTTGGGTTCTCTTTTATTTAAAAGAAGCATAGAATACTGGAAAAATGAACTTGAGAGATTGAAAAAAATTCCAAATAAAGAAATTTATGAAGTTCTCAAGATAAGTTTTGATGGCCTTGAAGATATAGAGAAGGATCTATTCCTTGATATCGCTTGTTTCTTTAAAGGGTATCATGAAGATAAGGTAATGAGTATATTGGACAGTAGTGGGCGAATTGAATTTCTAAAGGAACGGTCCTTGATAACTATCTTAGACAAAAACATTTTGTGGATGCATGATTTGATACAAGAAATGGGTTGGGAAATTATTCGTCAAGAATCACCTAATGATCCCGACAAACGCAGTAGGTTGTACTCTCATAAAGATATTTATAAAGTACTCAAAGAAACCCACATATAATTTTCTTTCCAGGTACAAGCAGTTCAAAAAACATAGGCTTTGCTTTATCTTCTTATTTATTTATTTATTTATTTTCCCCTTTCATATAAGCCGCTGCAAACTTGTATAATTCTAATTAGGCTTTAACATAATGTGGTAACTTATACCATGGCCTTGGTTATCAGGGGACAGAAAAAATTAAAGGCATCATGCTAAACAGACCTCATCACCATCTATCAGAGGAGTTGCATGTAAATTTTGATGTCTTTGTGAAGATGAAGAGACTGAAACTGCTCAAACTCAGTGGTGTACGGCTTCGTGGACGCCTTACATATCTTTCAAATGAATTATGTTATCTTCATTTGGAAGATTACCGGGGAAGGTTTTTGCCATCCAATTTCCATCCAGAAAATCTTGTTCAACTTCACTTTCCTGGTAGCCAAATCCAACAAATTCCAAAGGACATCAAGGTATACTATATATGATGACAGTTTATTTACACAAATTATTTACTTATGAATCGTATTGTTGGTTGTATTGAAACTGGTTTATTTCTTGCATTGCTTGTTTGCTTAACAGTTTATAGGGAAGTTAAAATATCTCAATTTCAGAAGGTCCCCATATTTGGAAAAAATTCCTGATCTGTCCAATTTCCCACATCTTGAGGAATTAGATCTTAGGGAATGTAAAAATCTAGTTGAGGTTCACCTTTCCGGTGGAGTCCATGAGAGGCTTATTAGGGTGGATCTCTCATTATGTAAAAAACTGAGTCGTCTCCCGAGAAGCATCAAGTTGAAAAAATTGAAATATTTTAATCTCTTGGGATGCTCAAAACTTGAGAAATTTCCAGAGGTTCAGGAAGGCATGGATTGTTTGGAGGAGCTTCGTTTATGCGACACTGCAATAAAAGATTTACCCTCGTCAATGGAACATCTTACTGGGCTTACATGTTTAGAACTAACGGACTGCCATAAGCTTAAAAGTATTCCAAACAACATTTTTTCGGTAATGAAGGATTTATGCGAGCTTTGCGTAAGTGGAACTGATATAAAACAGTTGCCATCATCCATTCTACACTTGAACAAGCTTATTATGCGAGCTGTCAGTCCCAAGAGGAGATGTTCATTGATGCCAAAATCATTCCAGCTGGGAAAGAGAACAAATGTTGCTAATTCAACTTATTTGCAACTGGATTTGCTAGGCGGTTTATGCAATTTAACTTTTTTATCTCTCCCGATATGCAATTTGTCTGAAGAATCCTTATCCAGTTTTGGCCACCCATCCATGTTGCAAACTTTAAATCTAAGTGGAAACAATTTCGCAAGCATACCACCAAGCTTCAAACAACTCACAAACCTCACAGATCTTTATTTGCGATATTGCAAAAACCTCCGAAAGTTGACGTCACTTCCGTCGTCTACAAGGTATGTTGATGCAACTGGTTGCAATGGTTTGACCATAAGAGTGAGGCTGAGGGATCTTCAAATCGGTCTTTCAGGATAGATCATCCACCTTCTTACAATAACGTTAAAGGAATTGTCTTTTGTGTTGTTTTGGAAGGACGCCGTAGATCGTACAGATATATGGGGTTAAAACTCCATGTCATTGGTGAGTCCGGGATCCATTTTTTTGAGACCGGAATTATTTATGTAGGAAAGATTGTGTCAGATCACGTCATTTTCATTCACAAAACCGAATATTTTGACATTGATGAACAAGTCGAACGGCCGATTAAAGATTTGCTCAGAAGAAGACCCATTGGTGTTCCCAATATTCCTGATGATGCCTCTTACATTCAGGCTTCACTATACTGAGGTCAAGAAATTGGGTGTCCATCTAATTATGGAGGAGGAGCAAGCTGAGACGTCGGAATAAGGCGTGTCACACACAAGTAAGTGCAAATATTCAATATTATTTATAATTTCATCTCTCTTCAAACTTAATTTTTCTATACTTAATTAAATACAAAATCGTCATGATTTGGACCGGGGTTTCGCACTTCACAAGTTAATATGTTAGTCTTCTTTCTATTTTATTAAATTTATAATTGAGTTGACCCCTAATAAAAAATAAAAAAAATAGGTATGACAATTTTAAAAGAAATTTATGTAGAATAACAAGTTTATTATTAAGGAAATTGAAGTTGCTCATTCTTTTGCTTTTTCTTTATGTTATATAGGCCATGTTAATTACAGGTCCTGAGGAGAGGTATTATTGCAGACCCAAGGCTCCATTTTAACAGAAATCCAAGAAGACGGTTCTATGGTTGTGAAACAACAAAAAATCATTTTAGAGATATTTCTGTATGTTGTCAATTTCATTTTTGTTTTCTAATGTAATTAAGAATTTCAATTGTGATGGAAATGTGTTTTGTTTGTATTAAAATCTAGCTTTTTTATTTTTTCAATATAGGATTTATTCTTGTCATGCTTTCTTGTATAAGACTTTTGCAAGTGAATGTTTAATAAACTCAATTGTTTATATTTCAAATTCACTGCAGCCTTAAACTCACTGTTTGTCACTTGAAAAATGAGCACAAATAAAAACAGCCAAATTGTGAGGACTTTTACCAATAAGGCATTGACTATTGAAAACTACTTATTTATAATAATATATAATTAATCAATTAATTAATTAATTAAAAAAACCCTACAAATATAAGTTACATCATCAAAAATAACCAAATGTCCCCATATGCTATGACTTTCTTCCCAACAATATTTCATTCATAAATGTTACTTTCTTCCAAAATGACCCATTCAAAGGACCATCCACTGACAAGATATTAAATACCTTTTACCAAACAGGACACAGCTTTAAAAAAAAAAAAAAAAAAAAAAAACAGAATTTGTGAATAAAATCGTTTGATTCAATAATTGAGTTGCATAATATATATAGAGAGAGTTCAGATGTATCTCTCCTATAATCAAGCAAGAGGTACAAATTCCTTAGAATCAAACTCAATTCATTTATCAAAATGGAGCCTTAAACTCACTGTACACTGCTTAAAAAAGTGAGCACAACAAGAAGGAACTTTGTTCAGTATTTCATATCACAAAGTGAACTTTCGCACATTACTAATAAACAGAAAGAAAAATAACGAATTCCATGTACGATTATACATTCATTAACCACATTTTCTTACAATAATTAATTCTTGAACACATTTACTTATGAAAGCACTTTCACTTTCTCAACAAGATTTCGAAACTGACATCCAAAGTCACATATTTTTTTGGAGTCTCCCAACTTTATTATAACCTTAGTTTGTTTTCATACCAACATCAATATCAAGGTGGTTCTGCAACTACAAGTGCCATAAATTTCAAAGCATGAAAAGTGGTACAAGGTTGGTCATGTTTCTTTTGACCATGGACAATCAAAACCCCTCAGAATAAAATGTGTGAGTCTATTCCTAATACATAATTGTAAAAGGGGGCCCTCAGAGAGTTCAACGGATTCATTGATGATCGTTTAAGAATAAAGCCCTCGTGTCCTTTCCTCACTACGAAGAAGAATTCTTCGAATGCGAGTGTCAGGAAGGATAATATGCTTCCGCCAAATCCAACAGACCTACCAAGGCTCATGCTTGCTTCACTTGGCCTGTGGCAATTATGGTTGGCCCCAAAACACAATGAAACTAAGAATCATTCATTCCAATTAATTAAGACCCACATTCAGCAGGGTGACATCAGAAGTGGGTACATGCTATACCTTAAATGTAAAGTTACTCATCTCATATTCAATAAATTAAATCCATCCCCCCAAACCCCATCAAAACAAAAAGGACAAACAAACGAATAAGACATTATATACCTTCTGACTAGTTGGTGGTCGTCATTTATTTGTTTCACACTTTTGGAGCTTCCTCTCTGCTTCTTTCCAACATTATTTAGTGGAAGTCCTTTTACCAATTACAGGGGACAATCTGTTTTGACCCACTTGTAATTTTCTCTCTTCTTCCTTTCTCTTACCTACAAGTCACCCTTAGAGAGAGATCAACACTTTTTCTTGGCCTACAAGTCACCACCATCTTCCCCATATGAAAACTCATTCTCCAAAGCAAAGTAGGAAGTTACCTGGACATCAAGCTCAGCCATACCTCATTCTTCTTCAAACTCATTCTTCTTCTTCCATACCTCAATGGAAATATGATGTGTTCTTTAAGTTTTAGAGGCGAAGACACGCGCAAGAACTTTGTCGACCATCTCCATGCAGCCCTACAACAAAAAGGAATCGACACCTTCAAAGATGACGAAAAACTTGAGAGAGGAAAATCGATTTCAACAGCACTCCTGACGGCATTTAAGGAATCAAGATTTGCTATTATCTTTCTCTAAAAACTATGCTTCTCCCTCCTGGTGCTTGGATGAACTGGTAGAGATCATTGAATGCAAGAACAAGATAGGACAGATAGTTTTCCCTATCTTCTACAATGTGGATCCATCCAAAGTAAGGAAACAAACAGGGAGTTTTGCAGAAGCATTTGCCAAACATGAAGAAAATTTTGGGGATGACAAAGAAAAGGTCCAAAGATGGAGGGAAGCTTTGGTGGAAGCAGCAAACTTAACCGGGTGGGATTTAAACAATATAGCAAATGGGTAATTATGAATTTAAACTATATTCTGCTTCTATTATCATTTTCGTTATAGTTTCTATTATTTTTTCATTGTTTAGTATAATGGTAAATGGTAATAATCGAACGGACAAGAGTGAGGTGGAGGTGTTGGCTCCAGACCTTCCAGTATGAGAGCACCGACTTTGTAAAAGAATGTTAAGGGTCAGATCTCTCTTATCTGATTTCTTTTGTGATACTACGAGGAATCGGATGGCTAGCTCTCTAATTAAAAATAACCAAGATCCATTTACGATGAGTGAAAGAAAACTGATGAGCATGAAGGACAAAATGACGGACATCCAAAATGCTTAAAAGAACAAAATAGGTAATAGCATATGACAGACAAAAAAATGGAGACAAGAACTCCATCTTAAGAACTCAAAATATCATTCAAAATCATCAACGACTACTTCCTAATACTTGAGTAGGAGCTTAAAATGAGTTGGTGGAATGGAACAATCCTCCAGCCATTGATAGATTTCCAAAACCAACTACACAAAGACCGGACAAAGAAAATGAAAAGATACAAGACTTGGTTCACTCACAACTAACTAGACTATGTTAAAACTTACGGACTTGAAAGTTCATCAAAAGAAGTCCAAATTAAAACTTGGTTCAGTCGAAGATACTAGTGGTATTATATATATGCAAATACTCAATTAAAATATGTATGAAATGATTAATAATTAACTAGGCATATCTCAGTTTATTTAAATAGGTTTAAAAAAATAAAAATAAAATAAAAACATAGCAGAAGAAATGATTCCAAATTTTACTCAAAGTTAAAAACCAGATGGAAATTAAGGAATATATAAAACAGTAAGATTTTAGAGGGGAATTTAAATAACATTCAATGAATTGTGAGCATGTGCAACAAGTTCCTAATTCTTATAATTCAAGACAATTTCTTGTCGCATATTGGCATGAAAATGATGGACAAGCTGAACAAAGGAATCAACAAATTCAAGCGTGTACAAATATGGAGACGATGGAATATGATCAATCGACTGGTATGGCAAAGAATTGTAGATAATTTCGAAAGAGCAAGTGCCAGTAAACTCAGTGGTCAAACTAGTATAAGCATACTCCATGATAGGCAAAAATAAGTCCCACCCATTGAGGCAGTTTACCACAAGACACTCAATCAAACATCCTAGACTTCGATTGATAACCTCAGTTGGTCTACTAATTTGACGATGAAATGTTGAGGGAAATTTCAAATTTGCTCCTAAAAATGTCCCCCAGTGTTCTCCAAAAATTGTTGTTATACTTGACATCCCTATTTGACACAATAGAAGAGTGGAATTCTTGAATTCGAATATTTTCTTCAAGATGATCTTAAATGAATCCTTCCTGTAAAGATCCATTCACTTGTTGTTCAGGTCCAACTTGTTCCTTAGTTAACCATGATCCTGGAACCAAGTCGACAGAGTGCTGATTTTCCATTATAGGTGACAACTTAATTTGAGGTTCCTCTAGAGGTAAATCTTTAAATGCATGCTCCTTAATGATTTTAGGTGGTGGAGATTCCAACTTGTCAAATGGATCATGGAAAACTTGCTTAGGCATTTCTTTTGTGTTTCTTGCCAGAATGCATTTGTCATCACAAGATTGATGAGAAGGACATGGTGCTTTATCAAGATTTATAGGTCTTAGCATGATATTTTACCATAATACTTGAAACTATAATGATTATTTGTGCTGTGGTGAGTCACATCTAAATCATAAATCCAAGGGCAACCAAGTAGCACGTGGGCTACAGGCAAAGGTAAAAACATCACACCAAATCTCAGCAAAGTAAGCACCCATTTGAACAGGAACTAAGCCCCTTTCTGTGATGGACAAGAAAGTTTCGTCAATCCAGGTCATTCTATATGGCTTTGGGTGAGGTTCAAGCTCTAATTTCATTCTTGCAACTCCTCATTTTGACACTGCATTTATTGAACTTCTTCCATCAATAATGAATGCACTTCTTCCATCAATAATGATCATGCAGACCTTTTCTCTTAAATTGAGAAAGGTGCGGAAAATGTCAGCGTGTATCCTTTCATCTTTTCTTATCAAGACATTTGGGATGCGCATTACATCATTATTGAAAGTGTCATAGTCACCTTGTCCAAGCCACCCAAATACTTGGGCAAATTCATATGTTCAGATACTTGACATGGTTGGACAACTGGAGCCCTCTTAGTAGGATTCTGGATCTGGCTTTCCCTAAAGTTGATTTGTCTCATGTAAGGCTCTCGGGATGGTCTTG